GTGTGGCAAGGCATCCCTGTTTCTTCAGTGTCATTCCCCTCCGATTGCATTTAATTTTGCAAGTTGACAGCTTCCCCCTGACTTTTCCTACCTGCAGACCCAACAGCTCCCAATGTGGTGGTCACTCGACTCACTCTGGTATGTGACTCTGCTCCAGGACCAATCACTATGGACCTTACAGGTAGGCACAGGCTCTGCCCTCGGTCACAAAGGGGACCAAGCAAAGGCCCTGGCATGCTCCAAGTTAAAAGAGAGTTTGTCCTTGGGATTCCACAGTGGGTTCTAGAGGAACTCTGAAGTCATCTTAGCCTTGTTTCTTATTTTAAGGCATACACATACGAATAAAAAAGAAGGAGATGTAACAGAGGAAAATATCGAGGGTCTTTTTCTTCATCTAGACTGCTCTAGGAGCTCCTGGGTTTCTCTTGCCATCTCTACGTGCTTCCTTTCAAAGAGACTTCATGAGCACAAGGGATGTGCATGCATTTGGGTAACAGGCTGTATTGAAACTTCAGAATCGAGCAATACTGCAGTTCCGGCTGCTGGGGACATGGGGAGAGAACCTTATAAGGGCTTTTCTGCAGAAAGAGGAAGCTGGGCCTGGAGAGGCAGAGAGGCTTCCTGTTCACCCAAAACCCTGCAGAGCACTGTGAGGCTCAGGCAGCCTTCCAAGCTGGGCAAGAGCTGTGAAACACACTCCTCTCACCCAAGCCAGGGCTGGGCATGGATGGAGCATACACGCACTCCTGCATATGCTCAGCAACAGGTCTATGTATAAACATCTTTATGTATATGTGCTCAGACCTGTGTTTGTTTAGGCATCATCTTCTGTGGGCACAGATACGTACGAACACCCAGGAATTTCTGTGCATTTGGCCGCATAACACAATCTTACACAGATATGTGTGTACTCATTTTACAGGTGTCACCCTTTGAAGGGATGCTCACCTCTGACAACAGCCCCACCCCCATCTTCCCCGCTGTGCCTGGTCTCTCCTTGCTGTGACATCTCTAGCTGACAGCTTGTTCCTCTCATTGCAGGTGACCTCGAAGCACTCAAGAAAGAGACCTTCGTATTAAAAGAAGGGGTGGAATACAGAGTTAAGATCCATTTCAGAGTGAGTTGTTTTCCTTACAGTTGCATCTTATCAGTTGCTAAGGCCAGTCAGTGGCAGTCTATCAGGTAACTAGAGCCAGGTATCATGTCTGCTCAAAATATGAACACTTGCAAAACTCCCCTAGCTTCAGGTGTTGTTCTACTCAACAGGGGATATTTCCAGGAAATCACTTCTGCTTGCTCATCCCTTGGAGGAAGCTGGTTTCTCTTTGCTCACACTGATAAACAACAAGTGGTTTAAAAGCCAGATGGGTAGGTTTTGGCTGAGTTTGGTTTTGCTTTTTAGCCACTGGAAAATCTTTACTTAACTCTAAGTGGAAATGAACGGAGAGAAGAAAAGAGTAGAATGGCTATTCATGAAGTACTGATTCAGTCAATATTACTAGGCTTCATGTACACATTAAAAAGATGTAATATTGTAGTGTTTGGCTGAAGATACCTGAATTCTTCAGGTTGTGATATACCCAAATGGGCTAATTTCTCCCTCACACCCATTAATCAGCATGTCAGTCACTTCTTCTGTTTACAGCTGAAAATGAAACTTGGCTGCAATGTGGCATCCAGCACTGAACCAATTATCTCTGCAAGTGCTTGCTTCAAAGCTGAGCTTGGAAGAGAAGGCAAAAAGGGAAGAAAGATAATTCTACTGAGACAGATGAGGGAAGGTGTTAATATTGTGGGTTCTGTAGGGCAGATTTTCCTTTTTCTCTGAGGCTTGCTGTCTCAGACATGAATGTCTCCCAATGCTCTCCCCCAAGACACCTCCAGGTCTCTTTTGTGCTGTGAAATATTTCCATCTATATCTGTGCCTTGTTGACCGAAGATACATGAGGTCAGACAGGTTATTCTAACTCCCTCCCTCAGTTCCATGGCTGGTAAGGGCTCGTACTGTGTGAATTCTACCCTGGGATGTAAAAGGATCTGTCCATCTTGTTTTCAGATTCAGTAGTGGGAAGGCAGTGTATGCTGCAGGGGAGGAGCAGTGGATACATGCAAACTGTCCATGGGAGATTTCAGAAAAGATTATGAAAATTATCCCTCTGTCTTTTGAGAAAAATCTTGCCAGCTCTCCATGGAGCTTAGAGAGCACCTGGAAGCTGCCCACCCACTGGGGCTGAAGGGATGACTTCAGTTACCCATGTATGGTTTCCAGTATGAAAATTATTAAATGGGAACTCCCTGCTTCACTTTTTCTTGTCCTCATCAGCATGTCTTGAGAACCTTACTGATGTGCTCCAGTCAGCTTCAAAGCTGGGCAAAGGATGGGGAAATGCAGGAGATGCACAGAGGATGCTAAAGGAGAAGTTGTTTTAGGGACCTGTGCAATGTGCCCTGTGCTGAGGTTCTCTTGTGTAGCGAGCCAAGATGGATATGTCCCTAAGGAGAGGGAAAATCATCAGGTACAGAACCAAAACTCTTCTCTTGACACTTCTGGTTGCTTCCAACAGGTCAACAGGGACATTGTGTCGGGACTGAAATATGTGCAGCACACCTACCGGACAGGGGTGAAGGGTAAGTAAGAGCCCTGCATGCCCTGCACAACACTGCTCCTACCTGTGTGTTCCCTCTTCTTGAAGAAGTGTTCCTGCAGCTCTGGACTGGGACAGAGGCTCCCTTGCTCCCAAGTCCCATCCTTGGGTGGGAGGATGATTTCTCAGCAGAGTGTATAAGCCTGCATCACCCAGTACAGCAGTTTCTTGTTTTGTGCAAACTCAGTATGAACCAGCTCTGGTATCTGTATGCTACACCACTATCTGCAAAGTCCACAGAGACGCTGCTTAGACAGTGCTTGCCACAGATTGCCTCTCCATACAGAGCTCCTTTCCTCCCCTGCACCCACTGTGCAGTGGCTCAGCCTGTGTGGAGCTTCCCACCCTCTGAAAGCTCTTCAGAAGCACTTGGTAAAATTCAGACCTGCTCTATGAAACTTCCCATTGTGTGCAGGGCCCTGTGATTTCTCCTCAGTGCTGCTCTGCTTGGACAAGGCAGAGGAAAGCCCCATTTTACACATTTTACATACACATACCCCGCATGCATTTTCGTGCAACCACCTCTAAGGCTTCAGCATCCTGTTTAGCACACATAACTGATATCTTCTCACCAGTAAAGAGAAGCAGTGGGAAATCATAGATCTTGAGCCATATGCTGGGTGTTCTCATGCCCTTCTAGCAGCCAGAATGTTCAGTTTCCTCCCAAACTTGTCTCAAACCGGGAGAAGCACATACATGTGAGAATATCCAAGTGGAGTTGCCTGTTCACCTGCCCATCCATCTTGTCCTTCCAGCTGTCCTTATTCTTCACTAGCCTGCTTTTCCCACTGATTCTGCTGTCCTTTGCTGACATGGACTGTTCCTTTCTCCCCCATCTCCTTTCTGCTCTTTTGCTCATACCTTCCTCTCTCCCTTGTCATTCCCCATCTGAGGGGCTTATTCCCTGTGGATTGTTTTCTCCTAGTGGACAAAGCCACATTCATGGTTGGCAGCTATGGGCCACGGCCAGAGGAGTATGAGTTCCTGACACCTATTGAAGAGGCTCCTAAGGGTATGCTGGCTCGGGGCACCTATCACAACAAATCCTTCTTCACGGATGATGACAAGCACGACCATCTCACCTGGGAGTGGAACCTGTCCATCAAGAAAGAATGGACAGAATGAGTTCACCCAGTTTGCCTTCCCCCTTCCCATCCCCTTGCCTCCTGCACCAGTCTCCAGGTGGGCCATGCCCACCACTGCTCCTTCCTGCCAGCATGGCTGGCCTCAGCCCTGGCAGCCCTTCCCGTGGGTGCTGGGGCTCTGTGCCAGCCTTGGTCGATGCACAGCCTTGCAGGCGGCCTTTGCTGCTTCTTCTGATACACTGAAAACAACCCAGCTGTTCTCACCTCCATCCATCCCATCATGACGCCATAATGGGTTAAATTGGGAAGCATCTCCCTCCCTCTCCCCCAGTACTTCCTCCTGTTGTCCTCATCTCTCCTGTACCAACTCCAGTCCTGGAAGTGCCTTTTCGAGGAAACAAGATCACCTGGCAGGGGTGGACTGGTCCCTGGAAAATCCCTATCTTGAGTTACACTTGCCATGTGCTCTGACTCATTGTAAAGGGTTACTTACCTCCCCCGTTGGTCTCCTGGTCTGTATCTGGTGTCCTACCCTGTTAAAATCCATCCTTGTGCAGGCAAAGCCAGTCAGGGGGAATGAAGCCAGATGCTGTAACAAGACTTCCGTGTATGAGAATAAAACCAGTTTCTTTCTTCTTTTCTGTGTGAGTGTTGCATTCTTTTCTGTTTCTCAGTGGTGTGTCTGTGAGGAATGCATTATAGGAAGGCTTAAGAACATATTTCAGCAAGGAAATAGACCTCCTCCTTCAAAGCATCAGCCTTACTCTATAGGCAAATTATTTCAGAACTGTTGCCTTCAGGGCTTTCATGAATCCTTTGAAGCCCAAAGTCCGGGCTGTGATCGTGGTAGACTCCAGACAGCCCCCACCTCTCATCCCAGATGGCAACAGAATGAGCCAGGGAGCTATAACATACCCTTCTCATGTTTAACACTTACCGTAGCAGCTGTTCCCTGGAGCTCCTGCAAGAGTTGCATGTCTCCATGGCTGGCCTGCTGGCCAAACACAAGGGAACATCAGCCTCTGGGATCCAGTACCTGGAGAAGGATGTTCTTAACCTAGCTGGGGTGTCTGGTCGCAGAAGTGCAGGGCAGCTGCAATGTCCAGTGCTGTGGGTGAGGACACACCACCAGCAGTGTTGGTGCAGTTCTCCGAGGCTGATTCCTGCCCAGCAGGGAGGGGCTTTCCCCAGCCAGGCAGTTATCTCAGGAGCTGAAGGCTTCGCCCTGGGCCAGCTGCTCCCTTCCCACTGCCCCAGGAGAGGCTGTGGGTCCCCACTGCAGCTGACGTGTCTCTTACCGAGGAGAGGACTGGAGCAGGGTGGAATGGCGAGAAGGCAAACTGGTACCATGGGCACATCCATCTTCCCGTGCCTCTTTGTTATCCTGCTTACCAGGTGCTCCCCAGTGGGGTGTGCTGGAGGGAGTGACTCTGCATCCCACAGTAAGTGATCTTTCTTCCTGCCTTGGGGAAAGTCTGGGTCTGCTGCAGGGAGTCCTCCTTATCCAAGGTATGCTGCACAAACATTGTGTTGAGGTTGCAGGAGAGGTGTGTGGGTGAGCTTGTAAGATTGGGATGCTTGTGTATGTGTTGGGGGATCCTCTTTGAGCTGCACCTCCTGTACACTCTGCCCAACCCTGACCTTTACTCTGCAGGCACAGGCAGCACCACAGAGAAACCTATCCTGTTAAACAACATCGCTGATGCAGAAGCCTTCGTCAGTAGTGCGGAGGTGGCAGTCATTGGATTCTTCCAGGTGTGTTCACAGCATCTCCCCTCTTCCAGCTGTGAGCTCTATCCCACCCTGACGAGAGCATGAGGCTGGATGTGGTGTAAACACCTGCCAAAGGCAGCTGCTGTCCCAAAAGGTGCTGGGGCTGTGACAGGCATATGGAGGGCTTAGGTGATGAGCCACAGAGAGAACAGGGAATTTGGTGTGTGCATGGAAAAGGAGATGGAAAAAGGGACGAAGATGAAGGAGGTTGTAGGAGCCCTGGAGCAGGAGAGAGGGAAATGCTGCAGGGGAAGAAAAAAATGCATGGTAGAGAAACAGTGTTGGTGAGGGGTGAGTGGGAATGTCAGTTATTTGCTGTAGTCAGCAAAGGCAGAGTAAGGCACTGCCTGTGTGATGGGGATGAGGAAGTCAAATCTCAGGGAGAAGTGATAGTGATAGGTCTACTGAAGTCCAAGAGCGTTTGGGCTCAGGCTGCAGCCTCTTTGTAGCGAGGATGTAGGCATGATTTCTGTTTCACTTCTTTGTTCCCCAGAGTAGATATCCTTGAGATCTCTGTCTCTTTTTATCTAAATTCCACTGAATTCAAAGGTGAGTGACAGGTATGAGTCCCTTGCCTCTCCAAAAGGCATGAATATTTTTCCTCAGAAAATAAAAGGAAAATATTTACTGAGCTACAGTACTGTAAAAGACAGGCCTCTTTAACAGGATCCTTATTACTTTTAAGGTCCCTGAGTTGCACCTTCTTCCATGTTTTCTTTGAGCTCTGTTCTGCTTTTGTGCTGCCCACACACTGCCTCCTGTCAGAGAAGGCCTCAGGCTTTCAAAAACAGGTCCTTCTGCAAGCACCTTCCTCCTTCTGCCCTGTGCCCTGGGGCTAGAGGGCAGTCCAGGGAGGGCATCATGCACTTGTTATAGGACAGTGGCGTCTCACACCTCCAGAGTGAGGAGCGGTGCTGCGGTGCAGCGTGGGCAGCAGCGAGTCTGTGAGCGCAGGAGGTGGATGCCCCGGGGACCCTGTAAGCGCTGATCACAGAGCAGCAGCCGCCTCGACTCCGGTGCCTGCAGGCAATTGGAGCTCCCTGGGGGTTGCTCTTGCAGCGCTAAAGCTGTGCAAACCAGCCAGGCAGCCTGCACACGCAGAATGAAAGTGCCGAGACGCCTCCTTCCCCGAGGGTGGCTGGCTGGGCTTGCGGCAGAGCTGTGCCCACAGCCTCCTCCTGAGCCGCAGCAGGGACATGGCTCCTTTTGTCCTGTGCCACAGTGACCTCCCCCTGCAGGACTGCGATCCTCAGAGCCAGACAGGAGGCTGCTGCCCTGCAGCCCCGGCTGCCAGGAGCACAAGGCAGCAGCCAGCGACATCTCGGGCATTCAGTGCCTGAAGCATGACAGGGCTGCATTTGAACAGTAGATAAAGACGTATGTGTGCCGTGAAGGCTTGGCTCTCGGCCTCAAAATATATTCATCCAAATAAAGTCCATGTTCTCTGCTCACCATAAATTATTTCTCTGCCGCAGCCTTTCAGCTCACTGCAGTACGTGGCTCGGCAAGCTTCCCGTATAATGAGCACGGCCTCCCTGACTGGGAACAGCATGCCGTGGAGGAAACGCAGCGCACTGCTCCAGAAACCCCGCGTGTCGCTGAGAAAGGGCCATGCTCGGCCTGATTAAACCCCAGGTTTCCCAGGAATGCTCCAAAACGCAGCGAGATTATTCCCACTCTAGGCTTTAGCACTCTCACCAGAGCAATGTTGATGCACTGGCATTTCCAAAACAGGTCATGGGAGATGTTTTTCTTTGGAACGAACAAAGAATTTTGTTTTCCATTCTCTCTGGGCTCACAAACAGCTGAGCTGACAGTTCAGACTAAAAAGAAAAACAAACCAATTTCCAAGCAGGGACCATGTCTTGAGAATTTATATCCACTAAATAGAAGTATCAAAAGTACGTCACCATAAAGTTGGGAATGGGAATAGCAAGGAAGGCTTTAATATAGACGAAGATTAGCAGTAGTTAATGCTCTCTGCAGAAAAGAGAGTGGACCTCAAAATACAGAGAAATTGCACATGTCTATCCTCTGATATACTTGAATTAGCTACTTTTTACAGGATGTATCTAAGATATCCTTTTAAAAGGTACTGATAATGTAATGTGTTCAAAATTGTAACTCCTCTGACTCTAGAATCAAGGTTAGCTTAAAAATTGTGACATTTATATATATATATATATACATATATACATATATATATACATATATATACATATATATATATACATATATATATATTTGGGGTTTTTTTTTGAACGTGCTGCACCTATGTTCTGGGTTTGTCCCCTCCCCTCTGAGTGCCCAAGGGCTCAGCACCATCCTGGCGGGCAGGGGTGGTGGAGGCGGTTCCCAGCGGGACCGAGCGGCCGGCAGGTGTCGCGCTCGATCCGCCCGCAGCCGGTGCCGGTGTCGGTACCCGTGACAATGGCCGTGCCGGTGCCGGTGCCGGTGCCGGTGCCGGTGCCGGTGCCGGTGCCGGTGCCGGCGCCAATGCCAATGCCAATGCCCATGCCCGTGCCGGTGCCAATGTCAATGCCCGTGCCCATGCCCGTGTCCGTGCCGGTGCCAATGCCGGGGCGGTCCCTGTGGCCCCGTTCGGGCTCGACCCCTCACTCTCCGTTCTCTGCCCCCGCAGGACCCGCAGAGCCCCGAAGCGGACCAGTATCGCCTGGCGGCCGGGCAGGTGCCGGAGGTGCCGTTCGGGCTCAGCATCAGCGACGCCGTCCTGTCCCACTACGGCGTCTCGGCGAGCACGGTCGCGCTGTTCCGCACGGTGCGTGGGCATCAGGAGCAGCTTCCTGCCGGGAACACGCTGCCAGGCAAAAACCTCCATCTCCGGCATCAGGGGCTGGTTCCGGGTCCACCAGCGCGCTGGTGTGGGTGGGAGACGCTCTAAGACGAGTAAAAAACATAAAACTCATCTCAGCCTTAGGGCAAGCCAAAATTAGGGTTGTCATTGACAGTCAGGTTGCCTGCCCACCTCAAAGAAAATCTCTTTTCCTGCCCCAAAGAGGGCTTTTGCTTTTAAATTGCAGAGTACCTGTCACTGAAACACGGAGCGTCAATTACACCCGGTAAAATTCTCCTATTTAGGTGTTTGCCCCAGGGATCTGGTTCAGCACCCAGTGCTCTGCAAAGAGCAATGCCCGTGTTTCTCCATGACCTGCCTGGAGCTTGGCATTAACTTGGATGGGTTTTCTGTGGTTTTGGAAATGGTCCTGAGACACGTGGAAAGCATCTAGACTCCGTGTTACAATGGATCAACACAGCAGGCTTGATATCAAAACTTGGCAAGTGTCACTTCAGGCAGGCAAAACTGTCTCCTAGGGTACAAAAATTTTCCATCATGACAGAAAACAGATCCAGACTAGGTCTCCAGTTAAGAGATGCTGTGCCACCCTACACTGTGGTTTGCAGACTCATTTCCTAAATATGCTTTTGGCGTTAGAAATCTTGCTTTGGAGTTTCTTAGGATGTATGCTATGCTAGATTAAATCTCTGTTGACTCCAGCTCTAAGTGCAGGTAGCTCAACTTAGCCTCAATGTAGCTATATTTGCAGAAATTTTAGAAACTGATACTGGGAAATGCCATGTACTTGCTGCAAAAGTACCAAGAAAAGCTAAGAGCAAGTATCCTGCTAGTTACATCAATTTCCCCATGTTGCCCCTTCTCACACAAGCATGGCTGTTGAAAACAGCAGAGATAGGTGTGTCTCAGAGGGAATGGGGCCCCAGGCAGCACAAGATGTCCTAAAAGCCAGTGAAGTGTTGTGACAGCAGACCTCTAAGTGCTTGAGGTGGGGAGAAATGGATAGAGACTACATGTCCTAGGGAAACTAAATATGGCAGCTTAGCCAAGTCCTAGATCCAGCTTGTACAAAGATTGGACAGTTTGTTCTCTTTTTTCCCCCTCATCATTTCCTTCACCATGTTTACCACTGATATTACCCAAATAATTAAAAAAGAATGATCTAAGAGTGAGCAATAGGTAGGCAGGCCCTTTTATTTAACCTTTTATTTGCTAGATGTTGCAATTTTAGGCAACACCCATTTCAATTTTGGTTCTTAGTCATTGTGGTTTTCTTCCAAAAATACTGAAAAGATACTTTGTTTTTGCACTGTGGCAGATAGTGAGGATGACTGCACTGGGAGAGTTTGATAAAAGAAAGTGTTTGGATTGTTGGAATTTCTATTATACTGAATATTCTTTGTTTGGAGTCGAGTTCTTGCAACTGAACTCTTGTTTAATATGGAAAAAAAAAGCAGCTAAGAAAATAATACACTTGTCAGGTTCAAATATGGCTGACAATTCACTTGTCTGATTGTCAATTTTTTCTTAAATTATCAGACACATTCTTTTCCCTTTTATCCAGTGCTGAATAATGTGTACGAGTAAGAGGTCAGAGATAAAAAGGAATTTTAAAAGAACGGATACAGAAACTTGGAATCATTTGAAGGATACAAAGATGCGTCACCAGGATAGAAGTGAATCAGAGGCATAAATTATTTTTTTTTTGCCTTTGCAGTGTATGAAACACTTACATTGCTTAGAAGTTTAAACCATAATTACAGTAGTAGGAGGGACTGTGTCAACTGATGAGACTTCTTTGTATATAGGGGAAAGAAACTGATTTATTCTAGTAAGAAATCCTGATAGACCTAAAAAGAACATAATTAACAGATGCTAACAACCTAATTATCTGGAGTGATAAAGACATTTTGACTAGAACTTCCACTATTAAATGCAGGCTATTTTCCAGACTTGTTTCCTTAAAAACATAAATGTTGAGTGCAGATTCAAGATGTTATTATCCCCAAATGGAAATCAGATGTTTCCAGAAGCCCATGAAAGTCAAGCGACGACTTTCTGTAGAGTCCAGGCTGTCTTAGATTGGTTCCCAAGGCCTATCTGGTCTCACCCACCCATGTGGGACTGTCCTGATCTTATTTACTTGAGCAGAGCTGCCCTTTCTGTTATGCAGGAGGAAAATTTGTGAGAGGAATCAGGCCACACAGTCTGAAAAGCACCAGCTTGTGTTGTCAGACAGGATGGGTGACTGGTGTCAAAGACCTTGCCAACGACCACAGAACAGCAAAAATTACTTTAGATGTCTGCACACCACAGGAAAAAACTAACACAAGAACTTTCAGAGGTTACCCAGACATGGAGAATAAAATCTGGGATGTGCATGTGGACTGCTCCTCAGCCCCAAGAACCTCATTCAACATGCATATCAATGGCTTTCAAATCCCCAGCTTTGATCCTACTTCATGTCAGAGACCACTGTCCCCATGGCTTAACTCAGTCACGTCTTGTGGTGGTACTGTACAGGAACTCTGCCCATAAACTCTGGTGTACTGCTATCATTCAGTGGTTGCCTGCTTTTTTTCTGTTTATCAGGTCATGAAAATCTCAATAAAATCACATCATTTTGAGGGGATGAAGCGTGGGGAGATGTGTGGCAGGATGGATTTTCCTCTAAAGCTGAAATATGCTGGGCTTAATTTTTTTCTATTTTCTTTTTTTTCTTTCCTGCTTTACTGGAAGAAAAATCCTCTTTTTATTGGAGAGATTTCCTGCTTGCACAATGTTTCCAGGAATTCCATACTGGGCGATGCCAATGTTTATTACTTGTAGAAGAAACAGAATAAGCAGATGGAGATTTTTAAAAGGGATGTAAAGCCAGTACTGATGTGAAGAATTAGACTATTTAATGGCCTTTCTCCACAATGCCTAGAATATTTTGTCAGCTAATTCTCCCTGTCTCCGGTGCATTGAGAGCTGCTACTGTAGGGATGTCTGGAGTCCTAAGAGATTTCTGTTATGCCATGAGTTTGCCTTGTCTTTGGGGGGCTGGAGGAGGCTGGGAGATCCTTGTCTCAAAGCAGGCTCATCCCTGTAGGTTCCAGACCTCCAGGAGTGGTGGTGGGAAGAGGTGGGGATTGTGTAGTGGGGGAGAGAGGATGGTGGTGTCCCAGGGTGTCTCTGTGAGTGAGTGCAATCAGTGCCCCTGGAGGAGGTGCTGAGAGGAGAGGACAGCTGTGACTGGTGGTGTCTTTGCCTGTCTTCAGGTCGACAACGACCGGCGGGATCTGGATATGAACAGCAGAGAGGTTGATGCCAAGAAGCTGATTCGCTTTGTTCGGATGAACGAGCTCCGCCTGGTGACAGAGTACGACCCCGTGGTAATTACCAGCTCCCTGCAGTCCTCACTCTTGCACTTGGTCTTCTCATGGTACCCTCTGGCTCCACTTTGCATATCCAGATGTGTGTGAGGCTTGGAGCAACTGTGTAGATGGGGTTGAGGAAGCCACGCAAGTCCTGACTGCTGTTCCACGTGTGGACTGGAAGCAGATTTGCTGGGGCATGTGTGTGGTGGGAGAGGAAGGGACTCATAGCAGTTCCTTTGGGTTTCCAGTAAATTTGGGATGTTGAGGGGTAGAGAGCTCCATTTCTTACTACTCTGCAGGCAGGGCTGCTTTCTTCCATGGACATTTGCCCTGTTGTGCCATGCCTGCAGAGCCAGCTCAGCCAGAATGCCCTCTCTCTGGCCAAACTTGAGAAACATGGAAGCTCAAATGACCTGGTCTCAGAAGACAGGCTTTTCTGCATCACTCAGCACACAGGGCTTGATGTAAGCCCAGATATTTGAATGCCTATTTTAGAGTGGGTTGAGAACTTCCCAAGCAAAAAAGTCTTTCCCATCCCTTCCATTGTTCCTCCAGAATTCATCAATTCAACAATCACCATCACTCCCAAAAGAAACAAGAGAGCAAACAAACAAACAAAATGCACAAAATCAGTTTAGAATACTTCCATGTTGGCCATCTTCATTGGCTCACCCATCTGACTGGCAGCAGCAGGGTCCAGGCACTCCTCCCTGCTGTAGGGGTTGACCAAGGATTTGGGTTCCTCTGATATCTCAGCAGTTCCCAGGTCTCATTGCTGTATAGTCAATAGGTCTTAGAAGTCCCAGGTGCATCGAGGCTGAGACTTTATCATTGCTGATGGGGTATTTTGTGGCCTTAAGGATAGCTATAACAGTCCTGACCAGGCTCATCTTATACTAGAGAAGAATGGCCCGACCTGTTTCAGAGCTTTATCTTTTCAAGATAAATTCAAGGATCATCTAAGAGAACCTACCATGAAATATGGTAGGAAGTTTTTTTCCTCTAAAAAAAAAAAAAAAAAAAAAAAAAATTTATTTCTTCATCCTCAAAAGGGAAAAATACATTTTGAAATCAAAATATTTATTGGAACGGCTAGATCCTGCCCCACTGGCCTAACAGCCCTTTAAGAACATCCAAGTCACATCAGCAGGGATGATGTTCTCATCTTTGTAATTTCCCAGACCCTCTGAAACCTTAGAACCCCTATTAGATGCTTTTGCAATTCATGGGACAATGTCTCTTTCTTTATGCATTTCTGTTGATGCTTTGGGTTCTCACTGCATGGTGGCCTGTTTGGCACCCAGGCTGTCTCCCTGACTGAGAATTCCTCAGCTGTTCAGCTGGTCCCCTCCACCCTGACTCTCAGTACAGATGTTGTTACAGTTTTTTTCCCAGACACTCTGAAGCTCTATCAAGGTGCTGCAATTAACAGTGCCTTCTGCAATTGCTGGCCCAAAGCCCTCCCAGCTTCCCTAAGGTAGCTTGATTTTTCATAAATATTTATTCCCAGTGCATATGCTGTTTGCATCCAAAAATGCTGCAAGTCAGCAGATAATACGGTCACAGGGCTCACATTAAGTGCTGCCAAGAGTTTCTGTCCCCATCCTGGGGCCCTTACTGTTTCTCCCTCATACTTTAGGAATTTTTAGACAACGTTTACCCTGTGGGCTTTTCAGGAGAATCAGATGTGATCCAGCCCTGCTGATGAGCTCTGCTGATTGCTCTTACAGAGGGTTGTGTGGACAAGCACACCTTTGTGTGGAGCTGCTGGAGGAGCTGCTGCTCCTGCCTTGTCCGCCCTCACCCCAGCCTTGTCAAGGGGCTTTGTGCTGGCTGGCTTCACTCTCACCTTCAGCCTCATCCTCTCCCATCAGGTCCTCTAATGTTTTCCAGCTTAGCTTGCAACCCCTCTACTGTCCCCTGCCTCAGCTGCACACCATCAGAAAAGTGAAAGGATGCAAAATATCTGATAAGCATTAAGCTAACAGCAGAGTCCAATCTGCCAAAAGTGAGATGCTCTGTTATTCAGGGACCTTGCCAGCATGCACTCCCTGACCCCTTCCTTGTTACTCCTGGAGCATGTGGAAACTTTCTGCTCCCACTGGCGGGGAGCTGCACATTCTGTGCCTCTGTGGTTTCGGTGGCACTAGGGAGGCAGCAGGTCTGGCCCCACTGCTGTTTAATTTGAGGGAGAGGCTGCAGGAAGCAGGCGGAAGGAGCAGTGAGACTACGAGTGAGCGAGTTCATGGAGATGGTGCTGTGGCTTCTTGGGCAGTGCCAGCCCTGGTTCCTCACAGAGGGCCAGTGTGTAGTGCCCACTTGGCCCTTGCCCAGGGTCTTCTCTCACTGTGGGATAGCAGAGCCAGTTTTAACCCTCAACACTCAGGAGTGTCCAGGCCATCAGGCTGCTGGAACTGTGGACTTGTACTCATCCTACATACAGTGTAATACTAAACAAATAAGGACAAACACCAGCCTTGACACCACAAATCCTTCCCCCTTTCTTGCTCATATTTCAGACAGATGCTGGACCTCAGTGATTTAGGACACTCTTATATTCAGTGTTTGCTGGCCTTGCTCTTCACATCCTTGCTCTAGTCTTCAGCTTCCTGTATTCTGCCCTAATCCTACTCCTCTTGCCTAGTCACTCTCTCAAGGCAGTGATGGACCTTTGTGGTCTTCAGACTTTTGTCTGGGGAATAAGCAAAGCCAGAAGGTTAATAGCTTCTGCAAATAACCTGGATTAGATCCCCTCTGCTTTAAAGAAATCTGTCCTGCTTGTGATGCTGATTTGCAAAGAAACCACAGCTGAGCCATGTGGATTTATGTTCCTCTGACACTGCATCCAATGTGTTCTCAATCTCCCTGCCCTTGTTTCTCTCCCTGTGCTGGGCAGACAGCAATAGGTGTGATGCAGAGTTCAGTCCAGTTTAACCTCCTCCTGATCACAGACAAGATGTCTCCAAAGCATCCCGAGCGAATGCGCAAGTTCCGGGCGGCAGCAGAGCTCTACAAGGGGAAGGTAAGTCCAGAGAGAAAAAGGGGCTGTTAGGGAGGAAAAAACCCCAGTGACTTCTGCCATGAATGGGGAGGGCATAATCTGCTCTGTGATTATGAGAGCAAAGGTCAAGTAGCAGCAAAAGAGGATTATCTGGATAATTAAATGGAGGGGTTGGTTCTGTTCACCTTTAGCCAGTTTGCCACCTTGTGGGAAAATACCCTCTGTATCCTGCTTGTCTGCTCTCTTGGTGAAACATCGTGTACTTTGCTGCTTTTAGTCCAGTTTTGTTCCCTTGTACTGGGAGATGAGGCACAGCTGCTACGCTTCAGTCTGCCAACAGTTGCAGTCCACTGATGCGAGAGGTGAATTTGTATCTGCAGCCTGCAGGACGCCAAGGAGCCTTATATAAGAGACCAGATAGGAAACAATGTCAGGACTTCTTAACCCTTAGATTTCTGGAGATGGCTATTTTAAAGGAACTGCAAATTTATCACTTAGATTTCCTACACTAAGGTGATGAGATAGATGAGATGTTTCAGAGAAATGTTGCCTGAATCTCATCCCCCTAGGAAGAGAGCTCTCTAAATAGTAAATCATCCTATGTCTGCTTCTCTGCCAGCAGCTGGATTACAGTGGAATTTGTGTCCGAGGAACAGAGGAATGAACTTGCAAGCAAAGGAGGATTGGGAGCATTTGTGGCAAGGGAGAACAGCAGATGGGAGGGGGCAGAATATCACAGAATTGGGAAAGGATGAGCTGAGAGGCATAAAGAGGTCTTCCTCTGAGAAGTGTGGAGCTGGAAAGATTTGGGATCTGATAACTAGAATATATGTATTAATCTAGTTTTGGTATTGAAGAAACAGATTAGAAATCAAGTATACCCTCACTTTCAAATTCAGTGACCACCTCAGAACCATGCAATCTCAAAAGTCTTGAGACTTGCTTATGGCAGGACTACTTTGGAACCTTTACATCTTTCCTAACTAAGAGACTAGGCAGAAACTATGGATCAAAATCAAAAGGTCTCTTCAAAAGTGTTTTGCTTTGATGAATATGTAGTTATAGAAAAAACTCATTTATCTGTAAAGTTCCATTTATCTGTTGTGAGATGTGTGTTAAAGTGACACCATTACCACTGTTCTCCATGAGAAGCAGAGTCTGATACAGGTCTTCACCTAGCAGCTATTTCTTCTAACACAATGCTGTTTAGCATCACTATCCTTTGCTGATGCAGCTGCATCTAGTTTTCATGTGACTTGCCTAGATCTGAGAAAATGGCTATAATTTTCCTAGAAATACTTCACAAAACATTGGATAAAATGTTGTACTGAAGTTCAGACAATTTATGAATTCTCAGCAAGCCAAATCTAGTTTTTTTTTTTTTTTATTTGTGCAGGCAAGTTTCCAACCAAATCAGTCTACAAGTTTGCCAGAGTAAAATATAAACATTATAGATGTGGGGATTTGACTAATTATTTCCACTTTACAGCTGTAGTACTTGAGGACAGAGAGATGAAGTGACTTAGAGTTTATTAAGTTGTTTTTCCCAAAGGAGTGGCACTTTGAGGAATAAATTGTGTTTTGGACTGCTCTCCTAGAAAGCAGAGAGAGAGTGATAGGATCTCTATGTTTGAATTTTAGATCTGGATAGTAAGGAATAAGCAGAGTGATATGCCTACTTATTGCTCTGTCATGTAGAAAGACATGAATTAGTTTGGCTATCAGTGGCAGCCACTGCACAATACCATGAAAATACCTGCTGGCTAATTTTCCTATGTCAAGTCATGTGTTGTTGGAACTACCAAGTTAATTGAGCTTTGCTTCAAAGCAAGTATTGAGTAGATTTTACCTTTTAGTGGCTTGCAGATTATCTGAGAATAAACGCAAGATTCTTGACTTGAATTTTGTTCAGGATTACCAGTGAATCGTTCCTGACCTTTGGGATAGTGGTGAAATGCTTGTTTGTGCTAAAGTGTTAGTACTACCAGTGCTTTGAGCAAAGAATCATTGCTGTGCAGTGAAGAGATGTTCAGGCTCCGTGTGAGCATGTACACTGCATCCAGCACTGCTTTACAATTACTGCAGAATGCCAGAACAGAGTGGAGATACTTGGTGTGTTGCAGGATTTCCACAAGCCAGTGCAGAACACAAACAGAGCCTCAAAATGTTCCCAAGGAGGAGAAGGGGTACTGATCCTGCCACACATCGCTGCTGCACACTGAGGGAAGAGCAGTCCTTGTCACTGTCATCACCAGTGGGAGACAAAAGGGAAACTTGTTGCTTGGATGGAGAGATGAAGAGGAACTGCTGCTGTTGCTGCTGAGTGGCTGACCCCAAAGAGTGAAGAAAAACCATAGAATTGTGAAATAACTTAGGTTGGAAAACATCTCTAAGATGACTGAGTCCAACCGTTAATGGATCACAAGGAAGTGATTCCCCTGCCAGGATTATGGTCCTTTCACCTCAGGTTTATGATATTTTCACTTCTGCCTGAGAGGCAGCTGAGATTTGCAGCTGGAGGATACATGAAGCAAGATGGTGAGGACTTTTATTTGACAATAATTTGAACTGCATCTGGAGCAAGAGTGACTGCCTGGACATAGCCTAGATTTTTCTAGATTTTATTGTGGAACCTGAGTGCTATAAAATGTTGGAGAGGAAAATGCAAATAGTAGATGATGGTAAACCAGCAGAAGCTGACAACAACAAGAAGAAATATGGTAGTTTTCTAGCACACTTTGAGAAACAGTTGTGGGAGGATAACAGTGAACAGAGTGCAGAGCACTGCAGCTGCAGGAGTAAATCCACCAGCTTTCTTGGATCTTCAATCTAATATGTGCTTATTCGACAAAGTACTGCCAAGAGTCCAGGCAAGGAAAGGAAATGCACTGGAAAGGAGATGTCAGGGTCTGCATTGCTGAGCCAAACTAGAATAGTCATATTCCATTTTCTTTCCACAGTATCAGAGTAAACCATGATAATTACAGCTGGTGTAACTTATGGGTGTTTACTGAAGTCTCAATAAGGTGATATTGGGAATAGCAAAGGAAGCTTTTGTTGCAGCTAACATAATTGGTTGCTGACGTCAAAATTATTTGGGTAGGGATATTTGTAAACTCTCTTTCAATTTAGATGTAGGTATAGAAATGCATTCTGAGAAACTCCTGGTGTCCTTCAGGAGTTCTTCCATGGAAATGAAAAGATGATGCCCTTTTTCTTGCAGACAGTTATTTGTACAATTTTATTCCTCTTGTCAGACATTGATGGCTCCAGAACCGAGAGAGATAATATTTAGATATGCCTCTTTTAGACATAAGCAGCGGAGGCTGTAAATATGGACTTTTTATGTCACTTAATAGATATCTGCAGTAAAGTTGTTTTTATAGATATCTTTTTTTTAATTCATGACCGATGTTTTTGTTTTGTTTTGATGTATTATGATGTAAGAAACGTCAAACGTCAGAATTTGATCTTTTTGCTTATACAAAACAGTGAACTGCAGCTCTATGCAGTTCAAAGTCAAACACTGGATATAAGACTTGACCATCCTTTCTGTTTGTCTTTTTCGGAGGAAAAACTAAACAATATCAAATTGGTTTCTATCATTACAGTGCTATTTTCTATTAACTTTAATTCCTTGAGGAATAACACCATTCCATATCTTAGTATCTACCAGGAATTTGATGTTCTAAAAGCACTGGCTAGGAATCAATTTGTCAAGACACCAAGACAGCACCAGTGTACAGAATTTATTAAAGGTGGTTTATTGCAAGTGACAGTGCACAGATAATATCATGTGTGAAGGGGAGATTTTGTGTCAAAGGTTTCTCATTCATGCAGGATGTCCTTCACTGTCTGAAGCAGCAGATCGCTGAACACAGGCAAAAAGATTGCTACAAAATGAAAAAAATCATGGAAATAATCTCAGAATTAAAAATACCCAACCAGATATTGTGCAGGATAGTATGAAATGGAAAGTGAATTTTCTGTTTGGGATGGAACTAACTGATCTCTAGCAGTGACATTAGAATTGCCATTATAAGTGGGATTTGGTTTTGGTTAATTGTAGCTTTGGTAGATCATCTGAGTATAGATTTTAGGCTCTGTTCATCCCTGACAGAGGAGGACAGGCATATCCTTCCTTCCCTTCTAAAACAGGTGGAATAAAGTGCCTGTCAATGTTTATTGTAGAGGTTATGTAAATGACTGGCTGAGACAAGACTAGGATCTGGATGGCAGAGGTTAGGCAATGTGAATCCTGCATCATGGTCAACGTTATTTTCCATGGTTACTGCATTCTTTCTTTATGATTGGAGCTTATTGGGAATCTCAGAACAAAATTAATTCCTCATGAGAAAATGCCAGTTTCACGAGATGGCATCTGTCATGGAAATGTGCCAACTGAGGAACCTTCTTGGTTTTCAGCTGCTGTGGAGATCAGGCTTCTGGAGCAGGGCCTGTGTGTTAACACATCCTACCTTCTGCCCCACAGTCATGCCCTAGAGAGCACGCAGACCTGGCAGGACTCCTGGACCACAACCAGCACAGGGTGCATGGTGGGCCCTTCTGCTGAAGGAGGATCCATGCCATGCCATAGACCTCCCAGCAATGCATCACAGGCATTAAGGTGTCTTCTTCTGAGCTTCAAATGCAATTGCTTTCTTTCCTGTATTTTTTGAATATAGGCAGAGAAGGAAACTTTTCTGAACTTTGGTACACTGTAGCTCTGTGAGCCAAATGGGAGTCATTAAAGAGATCCAAATTAGTAACTCTGAATGACAATGATATCTCAGCCTTTCTAGCTGAGGGGCCAGTTTTGTGTGTTTCTCTTTGCTCCTGTGAGGAAGAAAGCATTTGGAGTTTTAAACCTCAACCTTTTTACTCTTTTATTCTCACTCTATTCTTGGTATTTAATGATAAAATATGTACAGCTTTTTAGTTTGGGGTGTTTTAGCAAAGTTTGGAAGCTTGATGAAGTGAAGAATATTGACTAATATTTATTCATATTACTATTTTAAAATGCTATTCATCTGTTTTAAAGGTAGTGGAGATTTTGTATAGGAAGTGATGCAACAATATATATTTTTTTATTTTAATGACTTCTTCTTTAACATTTGATAAAAAAAATATATTGTTGTCTAGTCAAGCTTTTATAGAGAAAGCCGAAAGCTGTTGAATGCACCATGAGAATGCAGGACCATTTACTGTACTGACATTCTGAAAGTGCTTCCCTCCAACACTGCCTATGTTCCCAGTGTTCTAGTTGAAAAGAGAGCCCTAAAACATTACATACTGCTGTTCCATCTGAAAGCCTCTTAGATCATTAGATCTTAGATCATCCCTGACCTGTGAACTTTAAATATGTGACCCTTTTCTAGCTTGGTGTTTTATCCCGCAAAAGATGAATCAAGTGCTCTGGGAGAAGTACCCCACAACCTCTCTGCTCACTAACTTTTTGCTCTTGGAGCACAGTTGGCTTTTGAAAGAAAAATTACAAACGGTGAACATCACATATCCAGTGAAAATGATGTTCCTCCTTCTGTATTTCACCAAAAGACTGAAATTAAACCTTACAGCAGCCTAACTATCCGTCCTTCCCCTAGGCTGTTGCCTAGGAAAGTTTTCAGATATATTTGTTTTTTATAGAATGTAAATTTAATAAGTAAAGAATTTAGGATTTATGAAGTTTATTTTTAGAGAAGAAAATAAGTTTGGAACTAACTTGAGTGTTCTTCATTGAGAAGAAAGAAAAACATGAGTCACAGCCTGGGAACTGGGCACATAATCTTCACATTACATTGCTTCTTTTTTTTTTTAACTCTTCTTTTCTTCTGTAAGTGAAGCCAGAGCCTTGTCCATAGGTACATTGAATATGCTAGGCCCAGTAGATTGCACAAGGTAAAAAGAAGATAAAATGACACATGTTAGCTGACTGTTTATTTCATTGACTTGGATCTCATCTGCTGAGGGATTCTATTTAATCAGATCACTGATTAAATTTTTTAAGTGTTATATTTATTTTCTTTTATAAATTTCATAATAATGACTGTAGGTCATTCTCATCCTGGCTTATTCATGTTGAGCTTCTCTCCCTGGGTCTGAACGCTCCACTGAGCTGGGCTGTATGGACATTGGTGTCTTGCAACAACTTCTCTTTCCCAAATCATTGCATCCTCGTTTGTGCTCACTGCAGCTCACTGCAATATGTCCTTTAGTTTTGCTACACTCATGTTCTTGCAGGCTCCTGATGCCCTGGTGCCCATTCCCATATTCTTGCAATTGAATTTGATTCTTCTCCCCCAAAATCCCGTTTTACACTGGGTCTTGCATGGATGTGAGCATCCAAATAACATGCAAGTGAAGGATTCAGCTTCTTTAGCATTTGCTGTTAAGATATCTTGTCTCCTTATCTATTAAGAGAATAGAAGTGGAGACTGCCTTCCTGTTGCTCTGTAGATATATTTTTTAAGAAGGTGAAAGAAGATATTTTCTTTGGTAGTGTAAGTCTGGACTTGATAAAATACAGACAAATGCACTGCATGGAGTTGCTAGATAATAGCCAAGGAAAGTGTTGTCCTAACACTTGGACATGGATGGTTTTCTCAAACTTTTTATAAAAATATCACTGTTAATATTCATATGATCACTCTTTAGGGATCTGTTCTGTGTCTCAGCTTATTTTTTTTCTCAAATTTCTGATTTTCTCACATTTTCTTTCCTATTTCCATCACAGATTCTCTTTATCCTCTTAGACAGCAATTTGAAGAGCAATGAACGAGTATTGTCATACTTCCAACTGAAGAAGTCCCAGCTGCCAGCTCTGGCTGTATTCCACACACCAGATGATGAGCACGACGTGTTGACTGTGGATGAAATCTCCATTGAGCGTGTACAGGACTTCTGTAATCGTTTTCTACAAAGAATGCAAAAGGTAGAGGGGGTCCTGATGCTGTTGCTTAAGAGGCTCTTGAAGAAGATGACTTCAGTTCCTTGAACTCCTCCCCATCCCTGCCACTTTCTCTTTCATGTACATTTCCACCTGAATATCAGAGAAGCATTAGATTTAGGGCAGAGCAGAGATGGATGTCTCTGCAGAGCCTCTTTCTTCATTGACCTCTGCCTTCTAGTCTACAGCAAAAAGAATTCACTGATCTCTGCAACTGTATGAAGGTTTCTGTGAAACATTTATCTTTTGGGAACAGCAGCTAGGGAGACAAAGTGAAGGGTGCTTTTGGATGCTGAGAAGAGAGGTGGTGGATGGCAGCATATGAGATAAGGTCAGAGAGAGAGTGGCATGGATAGGAATTAAATTTATCAGGAAGACTACAGAACAGGGTGTACAGATAGGGCTTTAGGACTCTACCAGGGGTCTCTGCTGGGAGAGGCACAATTAAATCTCCACGTTCATTCAGTGGTAAAAGTTCTCTCTCTGTCAAAATTCATCCTCCTGTAGCACAGGGTCTTTGTGTTGTGCAGTGGAAATAAGATAGGGCAGTGGCATAGACAGCAGAGGAAGGCATTTGAGTTATTTTGTTTTCTTTATGCCTATGCTGAGAAACCAAGTAATGTCAAATCTGATTTCATGCCTCTAATGCGTTTTAGAAAGAAGACGAGTCTGAGGAGAAGCCCCCCAATGAAGAACTCTGATTCTTTCTCAGCCAAGAGGACGACTGTAGCCAGAGTCTGTTTCTGGTGTATGAAGAGTACATTCTGCCCTTTCAGAGCTCAGCAATTGCTGAGCCAAGTCAGTCATGGATTCCCATCATCATTCTGTGTACATACATGCTGTCTGTCTCCCCAGCAAGCTCTTCTCTCTTATCTCTTCTAATTTGCTGGCTCCACATCTCTTTTTTCAGTACTTCAGGACCTCTGGTACAATATGTCTTTCCGTGCCACTCTATTGGAGAAAAGGGTGGCATAGTGAAATGGCAATATCTGAGGTAAAGCTAGTAATTCCCAGGGATCTGTTTCTCTCATTCTTTTGGGTTTTGGTGCCATGCTGGGATCCACTGTCAGCCTTTCCTGATACTACAAACAGATTCGTTGCTTGATATCACATGAAATTTTCCATTTATTTTACTAAATAAAACAGTAAGTGAATGGCCTGAATTTTTATGCTAATATTATTTCCCACTCCCCTTGTCTTTCACTTGAGGACAAGGTCTCTGTATTTATGAGTGAGTAAGCTCAAAAACCTCCTTTCTCTGAGTTTAACCAATACAATGCTTGGTTGCTAAGAATTATTCCCTATGGAAATAGACCCATTATCAATAGATATTTCCACCAGGATAGGAGATATCTGTGAAACTTTGGGATCAGAACAGCACTAGGTAAGCAGGTCTGAGATGGTGCAGCACAAATAAATGAGCCCAAGATGTTGCAGTCAGTAATATTACCCAAGAGAGGCTGTTGTTGAGCAGAGCAAGGCGTGATCTCACCATCTGTATGGCCAGAGAAGAGAACTGTCTGCACCAGATGACCTCTTGAATGAGTGTGTGTACTGGGGAAAAATATAAAAATATATGCCTGAATTATGCTTGATGCCCTTGTGGCTTTCATACACTGAAAAAAGACTGTAGAAGTGCAGGATACATGCTAAGAGCTGAAGGCTGAGCCCCAGAGAGAGGGGAAGGGCTTAAAGTGCCAGAATACCTTGCTGCTTTTGCCCTGAGTATGGGCAGAGATTGTAGCACCGGACTGGAATGACTTGTGCATGAGGCAACTTTGGTGTTGATCTGAGTGAAGGTGTGAGCACAGGGATCAGCCCCTCTGAAGTACTGGGGAGCCAGAGGGTCCCATCCTAGACCCTGTCACACCACAGCTTTGGGGATAAGGGATGGCTCACCTCTCCCTCTCAATGGCCCAGAACCCAGGCAGAGCACACTCACACCTGCCTTCCAGAATCCTCATGTCAGTGATGTGTGATGGTTTTGAACTCCCGGTTTTATGCCAGTCCTAGAATGTGCAGGGCTTTATCTCCTGCCAAGAACGCTGCTCACTTTCCCTCACTTGGAAAAGTGCTCCTTTTTACAGCAATAGCTTGCTCCTCCCTAGGAATGGTTTATTCCTTTCTCTGCAGTATGGTAGAGAGGGGAGAGGCTTCTGGGGAGCCATCTGTGAGGAGTCTTTGCATTGTAGGTGTTTCCAGTGTCATGCACATCTCTCTGTGGTCCAGACCAAGGAGTGTGGGGGCCCTGACCTGCTGCACGAGTTACTGAAGTCTGTGTTTTGGTCAGCTGCAGAAACTGGGCACAGCGACGTGACTCTTTCTCAGTGCTGCAGGGAAACAAAATAGGACATGAATGAAGCTCTGGCTCTGCAAACAAGCCTGGGAGTAAAAAAAGTGTCCCCACTGACTGTGCTCACAGCTGTGTGTACACAGCTAATTATAGGGATTACTTTTCAGGAGCTTCATTATGTACACTGGGGAGTTTAATTCCCTCTGCACCTTACAGAGCTCTGCATCTAACCAACAAACTAGGGAGCCACAAGCAAGCCACAGGAAAAGCCTCCTTCTCCTCCTCCAGCTGTTCTGCAGTACTTTGTAGGACTTAGCTCAGACAGCCCTGGGGTGCTGCACTCAGGATGTCCTGTGCACAGGTGTAGTGGCAGTGGAATAAGGGGTCTGCCTTAATCCCTGTGCTCAAAGGCTTCTGCAGTGCAGCTTTGGTGGGCTTAGCCACTGCGATAGGGCATTTGAGGTAGGAACCAGACGCAGAATCATTTCATGGGTCAATCTCTTGTTTGTTTTATTTTTGGGTTTTGTGCCCTGCTGTGTCATCTCTGACTTGAACTTGTGATGTATGTGGCCCAGATGTTTTGAGCTGTCTGGGGAGGCTGGTTTGGTTTGCAAATGGAGGAAGCACGAGATGCAAATTGACAGAGGGCAGGATAATGGGTTCCCTTTCACCTTTCCCTTTCACCACCTGTATTGTGGACATACTGTGGTATGAGAACCCCTGCTCTGCAGCAGCATCTGAACTCAAAGGATATTCAAAATATCTAAGATGAAAGCTCAATTTGCCTAACAGGAAAATGAGGCTGTAGAGGCATGTCAGAGCCGCTGTCTTTACCGCAGGGTTGTGCTGTGGAAGATGCAATTTTATATCCATCTTTAGTGAGAAAGGATTTGAACATCTCCAGAAGCAGAATGTTACAGAGACCTGGATGTTCAGCAAGGGGGACTAACATTTTTCTATTTTGTTCCCCTGAACCGTTGTGTGTGACACTAAACAACGAAGTGTTGCTTAGAGGTGAATTAGCTCCCATCTGCTGCAGGTTGAACCAAGACTTTGTATATGAAAATCTGTGCCTCAGCTTTGTCACTTCAGTCCCACTCTGCACACAGAGTTATGGATCTGGCTGTGAGGGGCTGCTGAGCTGCAGAGAATCCGACTGCAGAAGGACTGAACAACTTTTGCACCTACCCTGAAGAAGAGGAGCAGGCACTGCATGTGAGTGCATGTGAGTCTGCCTTGTCAGCACTGCTCCTGCTCTTGGCAGTGGCTGGGCAGTGCTGAGAGGCCTTTGACTGCCAGAACAAAGGGAAGAGACATCTCCCAGGCCATGCAGCCCTGGTGCTTTATGTATGCAGAAGTCAACCACCAGCACAGCAAGGCAGGACTGAACTTCTTCCTTTCTTCTAAGGATCCTGCCAACTTTGAATAAAAAGTTTTTAAATTCTCTCAGATATTTCCCTGAATAGCTGTCACAGGATGAACTTTATGGTGTCTAAGTCAGATCTCATCTCATGCACAGAATTCCAGCACTGAGCTGGGCCTGAGTTCCCAGGATGGGGAGGAGATAGTAATGATTTAGAACATATGGTAGGAACCATTGTTCCCCTCATCATAAATGGTTGAAGAACGTGGCTGTCTGACATCTCTGTTCACAGAATCACAGAATGGGTCTGGTGGAAGGGACCACAGTGGGGTCATCTGGTCCAAGCTCCCTGCTCAAGCAGGGTCATCCCAAAGCACATGGCATGGGATTGTGTCCAAATAGTTGTTGAATATCTCCAATGAGGGAGACTCCACAACCTCTCTGGGCAATCTGTTCCACTGTTCAGTCACCCACACCATAAAGAAGTTCTTCCTTATATTCAGATACAAAACTTTCTGTGCATAAATTTCTGACCATTGCCTCTTGTCCTGTTGCTTGGCACCACTGAGCAGAGCCTGGATCCATCCTCTTGACAAGCCCCCTTCAGATACTTACAGACAGTGATGAGGTCCTCTTTCAGTCATCTCTTCTTGAGGCTGAACAGACCCTGCTCCCTCAGCCATTCCTCATAAGAGAGATGCTCCAGTCCCTTAATCACCTTTGTTGTCCTCTGCTGGACTCACTCCATGTGTCTCTTGTGCTGTGGGGGCAAGGGGAGTTCACCTGGAAGGAAGTTAAACCAATAAATTGGGCAGAAATATTAGAAACAAACTCTCTCTTGCTGGTGGACAGATCACAGGACTTAGTCACTCTTAGTCACCTCCACACAGGATGTCTTCCTCTCAGTACCACAAATGGCAGCCCATGGGCTGGCAAAGACATGGGGACAGGAGGAGGAAATATTGTCTGAAGGATACAACTGGGACAGTGGTTTGCAGAACCGTGAAAGTGGAGGGCAAGGGAGAGTCAAAGGCTGTTTTGAGAGAAGGAGAGGACTTGCCCAAGGAGTGATGTGGCCAGCAACAGGTAAGGGTCAGTGAAGGAAGGTGCTGGGTGGATACCACAGAGAACTGATAATGGTGGAGAAGAGAACACAGAAGTGTTTTTCCTAAGGCTGTGAATCAAATACCTCTTTGACCTATTTTGGCTTAGTCACTAAAGAAACTTCAGAGGAACATTTTCAGTGGAAAAACCTGCAAAACCACAAGATGCACATTGAATAAGAGCATACTTGTTCTCTCATTTGAATTTCTCCTTTCTCTGCTAAAGTACCTGCAAATCCAGACAGACAGGCTAGTTGCATGATCTGTAAAGCACCAATTTTTTCCAGGTTACAGGAAAGGCCCATAGATAACTGCATCCCTGACTGCATCAGGCCACCACTTCCAGTAGCTATGCAGAGCTGCCCTCTATCACAGCTGCAAACAGCTGGGGAGCTGTGTCCTCCTCCCCAAACACTCACCAGAGCTCAAGCCACTGAGTCCTCCATGGATCACAACAGCCCCTGGGGAACCCCACATCCTGTCCACATACAGGTTGAAATGCCAGCCCCATCCAGTCTCCAGCCTAAACACATGGGCTGTGTGACCACTCCAGGTTTCTCCCTATCCCTGTGTTATGAGTCTTAAATATTCTTCATGTCTCCCACCTTCCTCTCTTCCTAGGCCAGAGCCCACATTTCATCATCTTCTTAGGGATTAGTGTAATTCTATGCCACCCATGTCATGTATTGTGTATGTCTACATCACCAGCATTATTTCTTGCCTTTTACCTAGTAGATGAGGTACTGTGGGTATTGCTATCTGTAACTTTTTCAGTCCAGCTTAATATAGCACGTTATTACTTCTGTAGGTGCCAGAAGACATAGCATGGGTGCAGTCTGATTCCAGTTCCATTACTTGTGTGGACAACTGCAGACAAATGGGTATTCTAATCAGTTAGAATACTTCTAGTCAGAAGACAGGATGGGAACTTGCAGTTTTCTTGTTTTTTTTTCCTCTGTTATTGTTAATTGCTGGAACGGAATAGAATAATCACCTCAAGGAAAAAAAAAATACTCATCTGTTTTCTGGTCCATGAAATTATAGAGGGTTGTATTCCTGAAAGATTGTGTTTTAAAATACAGGGATGTTATTTTCAATATAAATCTGTTGTGCTCAGAGTATTCTTTGGCATCTTGGAATTCAATGTGGGTGTTGATCCTGGATATATCATAACTTCCCATTGCAATCAAGACTTTATTTTCCTTGGCCAATTTTTTCTGTTCTTTGGCTGAGAAACAGAAGAGACAGACAGTAACTTATCCCAGACTGTTGATGAAGCCTGTAGGCAGAGCTGGAGACAGAGCCCAGATCTTCTGCATGCAGATCTCCTGAATGTATGCCATATGGCCACACTTTCTCTACACCTTCCCTCACTCTGTACTCCCAATGGCTATTTGCTTAAGT